GACCAATTCGGGTCGCGACCAGAGTCGCGGAACGAATTAAGTTTGTGAACCGAGATACCACTGTAGTTTCATACAGATTACCTGATGGATTTATAAATGAAGGAAATAGATGACTAAGGAAAAGAGCCTTTGAATATGTAGAGATTTCTGAAGTTTATTTTGTCTTAGAAAGATTGACTATAATAGATTAAGAACTTCTGTACATTTAATTTACAGAGATGGGTGAACTTTAGAGTTGCTGAAAACACAAAGTTCATCCCAGCTGTTGAGATAATAACCACTGGTAATTGAGTAAAATACTTGGATAGTATTTAACAAATGTTATTGACACAGATTGCTTATTGAGTCCAACAAATTAAGATGGCCTTGAAAACAAATGGGAATTATGACTGTTTCCTTCCTCTCACAATGTGTTTCATGAACACATTGCTTTTTTTTCCTTAGAGGTCTTCAGTTCCTTTATTCCTGCATCTAGTTGTGTTCATCGGTGTCCAGTACAAGTCAGAATGATATCACATATATCATTATGACAACAAATATTACACAAGCTGGATCATTTCCATGATGATGCCACAATGCGCAGGACATCATCTGCTCTTCCATCTCTCTTTGCAATCTCCAGTAAAAGAATCTAAAGGTCCATTGCATGTCAGAGTTTACCGTGCTGAACTTGATAGAACATGACTGAGTACTTTTAAATATTGAGTAATCAATATGCAATCTGAGAGCAGTTATTTTGGTTGTGGTACCATTTTTGTTTTATGTTCACAATTTCTGGCTCCTGTCTTCCACAAAAGGATCTATTTTTCAGTTTCTGGGATTTGGTAGACTTGTTTGATATTAATCTTACACCAAAATATCCTTACCTTCAAGGCTACATATTCAGGAGCTCTACTCACAGATTAGTTTTGCCTTTCCTGATGCCCTATGTGTCCCACTTCTGCTTTGTAAATCTAAAATATATCCTTAATCCAGTCTTGCCCAACTTTTCCAGTTGTGTTATTCCTCCCAGAATTCTAAGTCAGTAGAGCTGATTCATTTATTGTTATTATCAGCATGAAAGCTTTAGAATTAATTTCAGAAAATTTATACAGCAAGTTATAGAGAGAGGGGGAGGGGGCACATTTGCATATTGTCAGAGGGCAACGTTAATGTATTTCTGTTTCTAATTTTAAGAATTTGATCTCAGGTAATAATATTCATAATGGAGGAGACTTGGCCTCTCGTTACTTTGATGTGGTTTCTTAGGATAAGACAGTAACCAGAGGGGTTTGCAGGGTGGGTGGGGGGCGCAACAGGATGCAAAATATCAAAATGGCATCACACCATGAGGCACACTCTGATCATTTTGTAAATGTGTTATGACATCTGATAGGGGCTGAGCTTGCATCATGTTTCCCTGAGGCCATTTTTGTCATTGACAAAAGTGCTGAATCCTGCAGGGGCTCTGATAGTAACTGATATACCCTTGGATCTACCATGCTCATTCTCAGTGATGGAGAATGTGCACAGTTTGATTTAGTATTTGTTATCTCAAAAACAAGTGTAGTGTGGTTATTACATTGTTGAACTAGGGCCAAGGAGATCCATGATGAAATCTACCCTGACCCATGAGAGTGATTTTGGACCCTTCGTTAGATTCTCAGCTGAATCTACCTCACAGAATAGCTGTTGTGAGGGTGAAATGTAAGGATGAATAGTAGAGCAATTCCACTATTATTGGAAATACTCAGATGTCTGAGGATTCTGAAACATTGCCCTGTTGGCTGCATTTTGGTAGGGTGGAAATGAGGAAGAGAGATATTTGCTTTGTACTACCTCTTTCCTTGTGTTTGATGGGAATTATGGGAACCAAAGTTCAATATATTTGTAGGTAAGTAGGTGGGAGTAGCCTGATATAGAAACTCTGCGGCTTGTTGTTATTCTGTTACTTGCATCCATGTTCCATTAGTACTAATGGTAAGTATGGATAGACATGGAGTAGCAAGATTATTTGAAGCATTTTATGATGGTTAAGCATTATTGATTCAATATTATATACAACCTAGACTATTTTTGAAAATCTAATATGAAATGCGTGTTGTATAACAAGATGTGATGTGGAGTTTATTATCAATAACAAGATACTGAAAGGGCCCTGGTGCTTAATGACAGTTTAACATGGGAACATAATTGCCTGTGGAAGGTAGATGTCACTCCCATCGATCACAAAACAAAACAAAATGACAAGAGCATGCCAGTTTAACTTCAGAAAGAAGTTTATTGTATTGTATTAATGCAGAAATTAACACAGAATAGTACTATGGCTAATATTTTTATATCCCACAACTGAATGTTCCTTAACAAGATCTTCAAGACCGTTTGACATATTTATATTACTGGCTATTTTTGCCAATTGTGTGGCCTTAGCTGTTTACATCCCATTTCCAGAAGATGATTCTAATTCAACAAACCATGATTTGGTAAGTAGCATTTTTACCTTTATGTTAAAAAATGTCTTTTAAATATTTAAAATGTTTTTTTTTTAATTTGCTCAGGCAGCCTTTAAAAATTAGAATGAATTATTTATTTAGTCAGGTGAAAAAAGTGATACAACATTTAAGAACGTACATTACTACTTTGATTGTCAGTTCTGATAGGCATATTCTGGTTTCCGAAATAATAAGATGCATTACCAGGAAAATAATAATTGGATTTATATGTGGCTGCTGTTTAATCTTACATGCTGTTTGCTGTGTCAGTGCTCTTTATTCTTTTATATCGGGCCCTCGCATGAACTTTTATTTCTTTTTTCATTTTGTTTTGATTACTTTCTTGCTATCAATAGATTATATTGAATATATTACTCCAAGGACTGGAATAATATTCCAGAAAATAACACACACACACACACACACACACACACACAATTGCCTTCCCAATCAGATAATCAGGTGTCTGTTACATTTTGAAGAGGGTTTACATGTTTAAATATAAGTAATATAACAAGAATGCTGTTGCTTTAAAGGAGGTTTTTTAGCAGGAAGGTATTCATACAAGTAGATGTTTATTAAAATTACGGACTTGGATTCTGCCAGCAGAAAGCGTTTTCCAAGCATGGAAGGATGGTTTCTGGTTTCCCATTTAACAGAGAAGGCTTAGATGAAAAACATTTTTTTCCAGAGATTGCACCAATTCTGTGCACATTCATATGATACGGTTGTAGCCAAATAGGATTTCACTGGAATTTTGCCTAAAGTCTTCTCTCATCAGGAATGCAGTTGCGAAGTATCCACCTATGGCTTGTTTTTAGGTTGCTATGTCTTCCAGGTGGAAAATGATGATTTCTTCTGGCTGCAGTGTGCCAGAGAAGGAACTTATGGCTGGTTTTAAGTTCTTCTTTGTGTCTTGGTCCATTGTGAAGAAGCCCATTGGGCCATTTTCGGCTGACATGGCAATGGAAAAACAAAGCAATTATGTGTGATAACAACCATGCACAACTAAGAGCAAAATGGCCATGCCTTTCAACCAGAGTTGATACGCTGTACGTACAGAGATGGGAGTAATCTTCATTGAATTTAACAGGACTTGTTTGTAGTTAGATTTGCACTGTTATTTGCCATGTTTCTGTAAAAGATGCCCAACTTTTGAGATTTTGGGTTTTATAATATATGCAGTTTCTTTATATCCATTTATATCCATAAAATCCATTTGTGTGTAATCATACAGAGAACTCTAATAATACAGTTATTTCATTCTTCCATTGCTTTGGATTCAGGCATGATCCTAAGACAATGGAAGTAACCATGAATATTCAATGATCAAAAATCTGTGATGTAGCACTAATTCAAAGGCCTGTTCTGGGGCATGTATAACTATCAATTACACAATGAATTGTTTCTGGAAAGTTAAGTTGAAAAACCTCCATTTTTAATGCCTTCTACGTAGTGTGGCAACTTTTATATAGAAGGTAGTTGAAAATTGAGAGGATCTAAAGTAAAGCTGCAACAGTCCACATCATCATTAAAAAGCAGCCATTTAGTAGTCTGATTGAGCCATGTAGTGGTCATCCAGATTTTTAAAGGCCAGATTTGGGAGCTTTGAGTTGGAGCAGGAGGCACATATTTGCTACCTCAAATAGCAAATAGGATTTGAATAATCCTTAACATGTTGATAGTCATGTTTTATTGATTGTATTGCTGTTTTCTGGAGAATCTATTATACACCCAATTCCTATATCATTTAACTGCAATATTAAGTATAATACTTGTGTGACAACTGTTTATATTTTTTATGGCATAAGCCTTTGGGACTACTACCTCCTTCTTGGGATGCATAAAGTGATATGCAGGTAAAGCTGCTGGTAATACTGTATGAGTATAGTGAAAGCACTTCATTATATTCAACACTTATGTGGTAATACATTCACTAGTGTTTAAGGAGCGGGGAGATTCTGTTATTTGCAATGTGGACAAGAACAGATATCTCTATGGATATTAAATACTTGTAAGAAGCATTTAAACAAAGAAAAAGCATCCAGGAATTCTTGATAGGCAGTGTTTCATGCTCATATCATAGTTTGGAAGTTGTATATAGGGAATGCTTCAAAGCTGGCCATAAAAAATAGTTTATGTTTGGTCTATTGAAGATTTGTCAGTGTATATTTCAGTACAGAGAAGAGACTTTTGAAAAGCCATTTAAAACTGTTACCTGTTTTCTTAGAGAATGCTGCATATATAATTTGGTCTGTTTTATATAAGTTCATTTCTTCAAGATAATACAGAACTTCCTGAGATAAAAACTGGCAGAAGAACAGTCTGTTGGATCAATTATCTGACCTAATGGACTGCTTTGTTTTCAAAACTTTAAAACTGCCCCTTTAGGACTTTTTGTGGGAAACAAACAAACAAAAAATGAAATTATGATATATGGATTTGATGATTACTCATCCTAAATGGCTCCATTACAAGTGACTATCCAGGTGAACTCACTTTTATCGCTG